CATTGGTTTCGTTTTGATTCTGTTTGGCAGTAATTCCTTCCTCTTAGTCGACTCTTCTACCACTAAAGGTTCCTTCAATAGGTACGAGCTTATATTGGATTGTGCGGGTATTGGGACGGGGTCATTTGGAATTGATCTTGATGTCCCCGAAAAATTGGCACGTGAAATTGAATTGGGTTCCTCGTCCTGTTGAGGTCCCAATATTGGAATACGGTCCAATATTAGTATTGATTCGGTTCGCCTCATGGAGGGCGCTACTGTTGTTACTTCGATTGGGTCATCCAGGTCCTAAATTAGATTCTTGCCTTTTTGTTGACCCTTGGTAAGCACTGCGTTCACTACCTCGACGCGATGTACTAGTGAGTCCCGTTGAACAGGACCTTTGTCCTCCGCCGGCTGGCTTGTTTACATCTGCTGGTCACGGTTATTATAATTAAATGTCGCGTTGCACTGCTGATAAGTATGACCAGACTACTTATAATTTCCACATATTGGGGCATAATCATCACTTTCTCTTGGATTAGGACATTCACTCGCATAATGTCCGATTTTTCTGCACCAATAGCAACGAAGTGGTCTTCTGCCAACTCCTTCAGGGATATTGGGTGTCTCTACTGGTATATAACGGCTCGGTCTATTCCATGTCGGTTGAGTGAAGGATCCTGGTTGACCCATTGGTACTGTAGATTCTGGCATTGGCTTCTGCATGGTTGAATATTGATGATATCCTTGTTGATTCAGCCCCAAGCCATGGGTATTGGATACACCTTCTTGGTGAAATTCAGAGTTTTGGAAATTGGAATAATTTCTGTTTTGTTTATTCGCTCGATTTCCATTCTAGCCGAACCTATTATTCGTTTATATTTGATTTACATCCCACGAAGTTGGTTGACTCATGGTCTGTTGTCCGACTTGTTGTTGTTTCCTTAAGTTCCAACAATTGGCAGTGATATGCTTACGTCCACAAAAGGTACATAGAACCATCATTTGGGGTGGTGAAGAACATTTGGTTACCAAATGACCTTGTCCCTTACAATTGCTACACCAAACATTGGGTCGCATATTGGTCGGTTTATGCCTTTTTTCTTTATCCTTGGCCAGATTCACAACCAATTCATCCATTTTCTTCGTTAATGTTAACAGCAATGAGTCATTGGGATCCCTTGATACCAATTCATTGGTCAATTCCTTCGTAGGTATTGATTTTTGATATGCGGAATAAGGCACATACGATTGTGACGATGATGGTAGTACAGCCTGCAATGGAACGGCATTCACTATTCCCTGTGGAATTCTACCATAATCACTCCTTCCCGGATAACTTTCCAATGCGTCATTCCAATTTGTCATTTGATAACCGCCTTGTGATGGAATCATCGTGGTGCCAACGGTTAAGTGCTGGTCGTAATGACATTCCTCCCATACTTTTGCTCGCTCAAGAGATGCTACAATGGTAGCTGATTGGGCCTCCTTTACAAACATCTTCAATTCTGGTGGGTATAATCTATTAACCGATATGGACAACACAAACGATTCCGGCATTTGGTTATTTAGCCATTTTCGAAGTATATCTACTACACGACGATAATATGACTGTACCGCTTTCCTTGGTACCATTCTACTGTTCATTAATCTTTCTTGAAGACGTTCTTCAAAACCAATTGGTCAAAAATGGGCTAAAAATACCATTTTCAATGCCTCCCAATTGATAAATTGACCTACAGGTTGGCGGTTATACCACTCGAACACTGTGTCTTTTAGTGTCGCTAGCAACCATCTCAGCCAAATGTCTTCTATCCTTCCATTATTGGCTACACACGTCGTCAAGAATTGAGACAAATGTTGATCTGGGTCCTCACTTGGCAAACCACGAAAAGTAGGTAATGGTGCGACGCTAGTCGTACGATCGCCCAAGGTACCCATTTGAACTGCAATCGGAACGGCTGGTCCTCTTGCCGCCATTGAATTTTTTGTTCTTCTAAAATTTGTTTTAAAATAATCTCTACTTTTCCTTATTCTAATTACCGAGCTCTCAGCGGTCCTTGCTTTACTGTTTTTCTCCGCAAATAGTTTTGTTGATTGACTTGCAGGTGAAAAAGTCGGATTTTGAAATACGATATAGTTGCCTTTATTGGTGACCAATTCATGCCAATCTGCAGAGCCCCTATTGCTTGTTTCAGCGGTACCCCTTACTGAAAAATTATCCAATGGAGTACCAAATACTTCTATGCCTCCTTCTCTTTCAGTTAATGGCCTCAAGATTTCCATTGGAATGTTAACAAAATTTCCCGCGAGTGTTCTTGGCAATTTTTCTAACGGTACATATGACTGCAGAATTAATAGTCTGTCTGATTCTTGATTTGTTTGGATGCGTTGACAAGCTTGCAACCATGGTTTAATCCAATTCTGTCGATGCTTTCTTTTAAGATTACGTTCTTGTTCCTCTCTACGCAAGTTCCTTCCTTGCGCTCTTCCCTGCCTTTCTCTCAACTGATTTAATTTCCTCGATGCAATGCTCTCGTTCTTATTAACCATAATCTTTCTTCAAACACTACTGAAATCGTCTTCCATTGCCCATTTTCTCACACGTTAGTAATTAATTCCTAACACTCAAAGCTATTATCACTCCCCGGCAGCAGCGCCAAAATGTGGTTGATCGTTTTACTTATTTCGAAAGAAACCTCCCAGAATAAACCTGTATAGGAGAATTCGAACACGAGGAGTGACTAGTTGCTTAAGCGTTCACGTTAGGGTCACACAATTAATTACTTCCAATGTATCGTCTCTATTTCCATTGTCTAAGCACACAAGGAAACTATAATCTCTCCTTTCACCTTATCAATCTCTTCCTTACAACAATTCAGTCATACCAATAACTGTTATTTCCACCAATATATCTTCACTCTTATAATCTCCAACTGTAATACCACAACATCACAGCTTCAGCACACAATTACCCTCATTCCAATTACTGGAATTCTTCACACAGAACTACCATTCACATTACAGTGTTTCACACAACCACAGATTCACTCTTTCTGCTGAACTACATTCAGATTTCAGCATTCAATCTCTCTTCTTCTCATTCAATAACATATAATTTCAATCACACTTTCATTCCATGATTCACTTCACAATATTCAGAAACTCTCAATACTCTTATTTCAAAGAACATAACAACAAAAGAAAAGAGGTAGCACCAAGCTTACCCCGGCTCACACTATCACAATAATGGCCGTTTCTTCCTCTCTCTCATCCTCTTTATCCTACCACGAGATACCAACTACTACATCTCTAATGAAAACTGCTTTTCCTAACTATTCATCCATTTTAACTACTAAACTACCTTTCCAACAGTCATCTATCCCTGTTTACACTATAAACTAAGTATCTACAAATCAGCAAATAATTACTTATTCTACAATGTGTGTGTATGTATATATATATATACATGTGTGTGTATGTATATATATATATATATATATATATACATGTATTTGTATGTATATATATATATATATATATATATATGTGTATATATATGTGTATATATATATATATATATATATATATGTGTCTGTATGTATATATATATATATATATATATATGTGTCTGTATGTATATATATATATATATATATATATACATGTGTCTGTATGTATATATATATATATATATATATATACATGTGTCTGTATGTATATATATATATATATATATATGTGAAATAATGAGTTTGATTTGAATACAAAAAACCAAATATAATTAATACAATCAAAAGAATATAACTAATAAAATAAAATTATTAGAAAAGTTATATTTTTAAAATTGTGTATGTGTATTTGTATTTGAATATACCAAAGGATTATGATTGAAGAGTATTATTTCAATGTCGATTATACTAAATATTGTATGAATGTTTTAGATAACAAAGTATACATAGAATAATCAAATACATACTTTGAAAGTAATATGAATTATTTCCAACTTATAAATTCATTAACATATCAAAAAAAATATATCTAAAAGTTCTATAATGATTTAGAGGAATTATCTTTTTACCCCACTATTATTAATTATTAATTATAAACCACATAAAACAAGTGCATCAACATCTACAAGATATTTTTATTATACAATTTTGTTTGTAAACTTAACTTTGTCATTGTGTTAGGAGATGTATGTTTATAGCCATTGAAGTTTGTAAGATCTTTAAATATTGCTTTGTTTTTTGGAATAGTCTTATTTTTTCAAGTTTTTTGGTAAATTTACTAAATCAAAATAAACAATAGTTAATTGTGGCATATGAGAAAAAAATTCTAAAGATTATCAAATCTACTTTTTGATTTTCTTAAATGTTATGCATAGCATATATAATGTTATTTTCAAACTATAGCTATTGTAGCACAAATTAATAAGTTTTAACAACTAAAAAAAACCACTAAACTACCTTACTTACATCAACTGTAAAATACTTCAAAAAAGGAGTAACAATTTGAATTCCAATCTTACATAATATCTTTTATTTGTAATCTTGATAGTTATCTACCACGTTTAATAAAACTCAAAACATAATTAATTATAAAATTAAAGATATTATAGACTTCAATATTTACTTTATGCATCCAAAACACTCAAAATAAACATATAAATTTAAATTATGTAAAGATATTTCCAAAAACATTAAAAATGCTAAAAATATAATATCCTATTAAAATAAATTGCATTTTTAGGTGTGATAGGATACATTAATTGTATTGCCTTTCATACTTTGTATTTGACAAATAATATTGTAAATTCACAGATCGTACATCTAATTTTTTTGAATGCATTGATTTAATAATGTCCACTCAAATTCTATTTCACTACCCTAGAATCTAGGTTCCATATACACATACAGCAACACAACTATTTATATATATATATATATATATATATATATGACTTCTTTTTCAATAAGAGCATTGCATTTCTTCAAAACTTTAGATATCACATTATATCATTGCAAGTCCTTCCATAATGTCTCAGAGGGAGGAAAAAATCTGAAAATTTTCGATTCAGCTACACTTTTAAGTGTAATAGTGCCAAATAGCACAGCACTGAGAGAATTTGTGAGCGTAAGGTGATAGTAGACCAGTAATGGTTCACCCAAAAGAGCAAGAGGAGATGAAACTGCACACCTGTGTTTGCTGAGCTATATCCTGGAGCCAGTGAGTATGCATCGAAGTTTTTAGTCTACATTGAAATAGGAACTCTAATCTACACGCAGTTTGTACTGATTAAAATCTACTAGGGACGCTTGTAAATCCTGCAATTGCATATTCTAGCAATGAGAGATATTCTGTGCAGCCATAGACTACAACCGTGGTATGAGCTAGTGACCTTACCCGTTGGAGATCAGTTCAGAGCACTTTGGAAAAAGCTTGCTTTAGATTCCTTAAGACTAGAGCTCAAATGAATTTGTGTAATAACTTGCGACGTGGTCGGGCTTGGTTCCTCGCTTCTGAGGCAGTTTCCTCCTTCTCAAGGATGAATCCACCTTTGCTGTAGAGCTTGACAGCAGCGTCGTTTGTGACCACGACATGGACATACAAACTAGTTATCCCTGAAGAATACCACGAAAAAAGAGTTGAGTAGTGACTCAGAGTTCAAAATATAGCTCATTTCACCAGAAGGAACGTAGTATTTAGTCTGATTTACCCCAATGCTGAGCAATCTTCTGGGACTGCAGCAGAAGGGCCACACCAATGCCTCTTTGACGCATCAAAGGCGCCACGCATACGTTTGAAAGGTAGCCTCTTTCACGCTCAGCACTACTGCCCTGCATTAATCACCGACAAGTTTATCAGTGATGTTCCATGAGTAATCCACCTTCTAGCCAGTGAGGGTTGACAACTAGTCCAGCAATCAAGCCAGGTCAGTGCAAATAGTCTAAAATATGGTCCACATCTCCAGTTAAGAAATCCACCTTCAATTTCTTACATGCAGGGATCTAGGTCACTATCCGCCCGCTGGCAAGATCGATGTCCTGAAGGGAATACTAGTAAAGATTCACCATCTCTAAGAGGAAGGCAGTTACACCAACTCCACCAGTACTAATCCAAGAGTTGTAATACTCAAGCTTGTCCATTGCACTGCCAGACACTGTCCTGGCTTGTCTCATATTCTGTACCTTTCATGAAATTCTCAAATTCTGGAACAAGCGTGCTAATCAACTGGGGCAAGACTGCAACTAGGAAAGGCCATGGATAACTTAAGTTTCTATTTAGGGAACCAATGTTTTGATACGAAAAATTGTCGATTTAGAGCCCACCTGGGGTTTACTCCCAACAATCTCTCCTGGTAGAACTTTGCCTTGACTCAAATCAAGCGATCCCACGAGCACATGCTCCTCGCCATTTGCCAACGTAACCTGCACAGATAACCAATAGGACTTTAATCACACCAAATAGGTACACAAACTCTAGATTTCAGTTGAATTACAAACATCAAAATGCAGTATCGAGGTACAGCCATCAGTGCAGAAGTTTATTTACAAGTTGATTCTCACCTTTAAGGCAGGGTGTAGATCGACGAGAGACCGATCAGGGAGGCAGGAGAGAGGGTAGAGTGCCAGAATACAGACAATGCGTTTATAGCCTTGCTCGAGACCCGCGACTTTGGAGGTGAGAGCAGTAAATTCATCTTCTGCCTTCATCTTGCGATGCAACTATGCAACCATCCAAAGTCTTTGCATCAATATTCTTTCCATATTTCTCTCACAATTGAATTAAATAAAGTTGAGTGTTTCCTAAATCTAGGACTGGTCGATTTATTCCGCACTCTGGACTCTTCAGATAACACAAACGAAGCCATCAAACGATACAAACATTTAGAGGAGTTTAGCGTGCGGAAACAAGAAGGAAAACCTGTACGGACAGTCTCAAACCACAACACCAAGTGAAAGCATGGTTTCCTCTGCATTAGGAATCCACCATGGATTACACCGCTATCAGAGTAGTAAAAAAAATGTAGTTCACTCTGTTCTACTTTCTCAGTAAGTGCACTCAAAAATTTTAAAACAGCAGAGAGCATTTACGTCAGAGGTAATACCCTGATGGCTTCTTCGCCACGGCCTTCAGGATACGTATAAAATGAGAGAGCCCGCAAATAAGCCGCCGCTCGAATAATCTCTGGCGTGCGTCCTTCTTGGAAGACTAACCCATCTCTCACACATTGCAGAACGCTGGAGTCAAAAGGGGCACTTCCAAACTCAAATTTCCCTGCAACTGGTGCTGTAACCTCCAAACTATCACAAGGTGCCGCACACGCAATGACCCTAGAAACTCTCCCAGTTAATCCATAAGAGGGGATTCTAACCAGAGGGAGCGGCTTCCATCCAAGTTTACTCGGAGCACATACCGATGCCGAAGGTCCAGACACTACAATCCCACGATTCAGCAACAACGTAGGGATCGACATTGCGACAACAAACCGAGCACCTCCGTTGCAAGAACCTAATTCTCACTCCAACATCTCAGTTGGCGATGGAAACCCAAATTTCTCACGCTTCAGCGCCGGATTTTTACGTCGCCTCGCAAAATCTAGTACGTATCACCAATGCAAATCTGCCTAAACATTGACTCTCCACGCACTGCATCCCATCCTACAATTCGGAAACTCAAAGCTCATTGTCCCAATTCTCATTCCGCCGAGAAATCACCCTCGCGACAAAGCCCCACTCTGCAAGTCATCCGGGCCCACAAAACCAAACTCACGGAATTTTCTCGCAACCAAATCCCCCTCACAGCACCTGATCAACAATCGACATTCCAAAGCGAATAAATGGAAAGAAAAGGCCGCGGTCGAAGATGGATAATATTAAAGAGGAGGAGATGGCGCGATGTGATCTGTGTTTGATGGTAAGTCCTAAGCTACATCCGTGTGATACTGTGAATTCCTTATCCACCAGCGAGTCAGGACCACCCAAACCGTTTCATGTACCAACGGTGGTGAAGCAATGAGAGCAAGCTGCTTCACATAATTCTAATGAAAAGCAAAAGCGCATGTCATGCTGTTCAGTTCAATAGCCTCTGTCTAACCCTCTTTCGATATACCTTCTCAACCTTTCCCTCTCTCTCTCGTCTTGCATACATCGCCGTTCTCAGCCCCAGATGATCAAAGCCCGCACCCACGAGAGCATACCACAATCACTTTCAGCTTGCCCGCAGTATTTCGAAGCTCTGCGAGTGATGGGACCGATGGCTTCTTCACCACTTCGTTGCTTAGCACGTGGGCCCGTTTCGCTCCTCTTTCCAATCCTGTTTCCCGTTTTCTTTATAGTTCACTTCCAGCAGTTCTTCTTCGTTTCTGTTGGCACAGCTTTCCACGACCCGCGACACTGTAACTGCCATGACCCTGGCATGCAATCTCTCTCCCAATTACTGCGTGCAAAAGAGGCTATCGAGTGACAGCACGGCAGAAGCCTTTTTTGGACAGCTCAACCCTCTCACATCCGCCTTAGTAGCGACTTCAACGGCTTTTTATTAAGAAAACGTATCGACGAAACGCTCAAGTATGCTTGAGCTCAAGGATTTACTACCCTACCAAGATAATTCTCGCACTCCCTCCTTCCAAACCCCTGGCAGTTACCAAGGGTCGTATCGCACATGACCTAAGAACGAAAGAAAAAAAACAAGTCTTTTGAAAACTAGCCTCTTAACACAGATCAGCCGAGTGAGACACCGCAATTACACAATCAAACTTCAGACACAGAATCATAGAGGGTAAAAGCTAAGACAATCACTGAGATTCGACGACTACGAGCAATCGGAAGTTGTGGATGCTCTAATTCTGGGAGCATTTCCTCCCCGAAGCGAGCACCGAGACCAGGGCCTGGATTCCATTTTTCAACACATTTCACTTGCACTGTTTCCAGTTTTGTTTCGTGTTTTTTAGCGTTCTTTTGTTCTTTCCCTCTGACTACACCGACAGATTATTTCGAGGGCAATTTGTGGTTGCCCATTCGAGATCGCTCTCCACCGGAAATCAAGCTCAAATTAAACCTGAATCACCATTCGGAATTAGGGTTTTGTGGAGACTCTTCGGGCCAGTCCAGTTCGGGGCCTCATGAGCCATTGCCCCCACCCTCCCAATGCCCATTTTTTCTGCTAATCTTGTTTGCCAATTTGCTGTAACAAAACTTTTTTTTTTTTTTTTTTTTTTTTGTTTACTAATGTCATCGTAATTTCGATAATGCCCCTTGATTAGCTCTTTATTCATTATTAGATTTTTTTAGAATAATATTAATGTTCATTTGTTTGTTTAACAGATACGATTTTGTGTATTAAAGTCTTTGTTGTATTTAGTGGCAATCGATTTTAATTTAGACTAAAATTATTAGTTATTGTTAGACATATCAAATATATTGAGTTTAGTTTTAAAATAATAGTGTTAATTTAGAATAATTAAGAACAAAATTAGTGTCAAAGCTTTTAATATCATCTAAATATTTTTAAAATATTATTAGTTTTTTAATATAACAAATAACTCAAGTATTTTCTTAAGTATAATTTGTATGTCCAAATTTTCATCAATTATATTCAATCATATATTTATAATCTTTATTAGAGTTTATATGGAGTTGAAAAGAAATTTATTTTAAGAAAGAGATGAATTTTAAAAAAAAATAAAATAGTATTTCTATACTATTTAATAATTTATATGACAAGAATTCATATTAATATCTATGACAAGAATTTTTATTAATAATAGATAAAAAAATAAGATAGTTATAATAAGTAGAAGCTTATTACATTTTTTCAAAATTCTACATGAAGACCAATTTGTAGCTTTTCACTATAAATCTACTTCTTGTAAATAAAGAAGATGTTAATATTATAGTTAATAAAGTTTAGGGTTAAAAAATATATATACACATTATTTCATATCAAAGACATGAATCACAAAGAACCAAAGGATCAATATACAATCACCTTCTATCACTTAAACATGGAAGATAATCACTCAAAGATGGTATAATATTAAGACTAGAATGGCTATTGCCGAAGACAAAAAGATTGAAGACTCTTGAAACAAGACTAAGAACTAAGAAAGCATTGACAAGAGGTAATAAGGCTTCATTCTTGCCTTATCATATGTACTATCTAATTACAAGGAACTTTTAAGACATGTGTCTAATTAGCAAGATAAGTGTCAAGGACAAGAACTCGATGAAAGCTAAAGAGTAAGTGAGACTTTTCTCAAAAAGAAATAGGACAAAATAGAAATATGTATATTAAGAAAGAAACTGGAATGGCTATTGCCAAAATACAAGAAAACTAGAGACCCTTGAAACTAGACTAGAAGCAAGAAAGGAGTTGACAAGAGTGAAGAGGGCTTCACTCTTGCCTCTATATATACTATCTAACTAGAAGCCACGTGGCGATGTTCTATAAGACCTCCAATATATGTTGACTTTCTAGGCCACATGCCTTTGCTTGCAAGGCAAGTTTTCTATGGATGGACCACGTAGTTAGCTTGTTCTTTAAGCTTCCAACATGCGTGGCACATGGCTAACTTGTTGACCAAGTTTCTAACCTAAAAGTCAACTATAGACTCCTATAAAGTCAAAGCAGCGTCTATGAAGCTTCTAAGAAGCTTCTCTAGAAGATATTACACAATTAACCTACTTTTACATACTTTTATCTATTCATATAGGTAATTATATGTATGTCCGTGACATTACCCCCCCTTCTAGGGACGAGTTCCACGAGGAGCGGTGATTATATATTGAGAAAATCTAATATGCGGCGAATTGTATTTGCTACATACTCTGATCTTTGTTCTCTTCGAAGATAGTTGATGGGTCCTCTTAGCCATCGATAGTGTCCCATTCCAGGGCGAGAAGACCACCCTGTTATTTGATCACTGTTGAGGCCTTCATAACTTCCTCAATCTTTTCTCTTTTATAAGGGAGGTTTTCATCTTGGTTTTGATGGATGTCGTTGATGAAAAACTTTGACTTTAGCTGATGCATTTGCTAGATTCCTGGATGGCTCCCATGTGCGCTCACTAATATCATATCCGCACCAATGAACAAGATATTCCAGCTTATTTCGGTGCCGCCTTGAGTCTAATATCTCTTCCACCTCAAATTCTTCATTATTATCTACTTCTATAGGAGGTGGTGGCATTTGTCTTCTTCCTTGTATATCCACTGTCTTATATGGTTCAAGAAGAGACACGTGGAATACAGGATGGATCTTCATTGACTCCGGTAGATGTAACCGATATGCAACTGGGTTGATCTGTTCAGAAACAGAAAAGGGGCCAAGCCTACGATAGTCCAATTTGTCACAAGGTCGAGTGGTCTTGATACTGCGACGAAGTAGCCATACCTTATCACCCACGTTGAGTTGTGGTTGCTCTTTACGATATACATCTGCATTTATCTTTTGTCGTTCTTGAGCTTTCTTCAACTGCGCCTTCATTATTGCATGTAACTCTGACAACCGATTTGCCATATCTTCTGCTGTAGGATTATCAACTTTTGAAAAATCAAAAGTATCAAGTCGTGGATGATAGCCATAATTGGCAAAGAAAGGTGTTTGTTGCGTGGAGGAATGTACCGTATTATTATAAGCAAACTCTGCCAATGGCAGAAGGTTTGTCCAATCATCTTGTTGGTAGTTGATAGTACACCTTAAATATTGCTCCAAGACTTGGTTTAGGCGCTTTGTTTGTCCATCAGTTTGAGGATGGAAAGCCGAAGATAGCTTTATGTCCACTTTTAAAATCTTGAAAAGAGTCCTCCAAAATCTCGACACAAATTGAGTTCCCCTATCCGATATGATATCTTTAGGCAATCCATGATAGCGATAGATATTATCAATGAAAAGCTTAGCTGTTTCTTCACCTGTGATAGATTTTGTACATGGCATAAAATGTGCCATCTTGGTGAAACGATCTACTATCACAAATATAGAATCATAAGATCTTGAGTTTGAAAGATCTGTGATGAAATCCATAGAAACAGAAGACCATGGTTGTTCTGGTATAGGTAATGGCTGAAGAAGTCCATAAGGTCGATGTCGAGGAATTTTTGATCTTGAACAAATATCACATGATTGTACAAAGTCTTTGACTGACTTCCACATTTGTGGCCACCAAAAATCTCTTGATATGAGTTCCAAAGTCTTATTATATCCAAAGTGCCCTACTGCTGGAAAGTCATGACGTGCTTGAAGAACACGCAAACGTGCTTTTCCTTCTGGAACATATAGGCGTCCTTCAAAATATAATAGATTATTCTTGAACTCGAACTTAGAAGAATCATGAGACTTGGAAGAATTATTCTCGATATCATGAACAAGAGGGTCTGAGGACATACTGGACTGGATTTGCTTGAGAAAAGTTGAATCAACAGTCAATGTTGATTTCACTGCTCGGAGATGAAATTGCTCCGGTTTCAAGAGGACCGTTCTTTGTTGCTCAAAAGCTGCATCTCCTTCTTTTGGTGCAAAATAAGAACGTCTAGACAGGGCATCGGACAAACCTTGTTGTTTTCCTGGCCGATAAGTGATAATGAAGTCGAATCTTGACAAAGACATACTCCAACGAGCTTGACGACGATTCAACACGCGTGCTGACATGAAATACTCGAGGTTCTTGTGATCTGTATACACAATGACTGGACTAGAAGCACCTTCTAGATAATGACGCCATTCTTGAAAAGAATCCACGATTGCAAGAAGTTCTTTATCGTGGATATCATAATTGATCTCGGCTGCTGAGAATTTTCTTGAATGAAAAGCTATCGGATGAAGTTTGTCATCTGTTCCCATTTGTGATAAAACTGCACCCAAGGCAAAATCCGATGCGTCTGTTTCCATAAAAAATGCCTTGGAAAAGTCAACACGATATAAGACTGGTGCAGAGACAAACGATGTCTTCAAGGCTTCAAATGCTGCTTCCGCTTCTTGATTCCATTAAAATTTATCTTTACTAGTCAAGCGTGTAAGTGGAGCTGCAACTCGTGAGAAGTCTTTGATGAAGATCCGATAGTAATTGGCAAATCCCAAGAAACATTGGACATCTCTTACAGTCTTTGGAATCTTCCATTCCATGATTGTTTGGACTTTCTTAGAATCCATCATAAGACCATCATTTGAAATGATGTATCCTAAAAAGTCAACTTGAGTAGTGTGAAATACACACTTTTCCATCTTGGCGTACAATCCTGCATCTCTAAGTTTTTGTAATACTTGACGAACATGTATTTCATGTTCTTCAACATTCTTAGAATAAATCAGGATATCGTCTAGGTAGCAGACGACAAAATTGTCTAAGAATTCACGAAATACATCATTCATGAGATGTTGAAAAGCAGCTGGTGCATTCGTGAGTCCAAAAGGCATGACATTATATTCAAAATGCCCGTACCTGGTTCGAAATGCAGTCTTCCATTCATCTCCTTCTTTGATCCGTACTAGATTATATGCTCCTCTTAGATCTATTTTTGTATAGATCTTAGCTTAATTTAACTGGTCAAGGAGTCCTGATATCAAAGGTAATGGATACCTGTTCTTGATTGTGATCTTGTTGAGTCCTCGATAGTCAATACACATTCGTAAAGATCCATCTTTTTTCTTTACGAATAGAATTGGAGCTCCTACTGGAGATTTTGAATGGCGTATGAAATTCTTCGCTAAATTCTCGTCAATATATGTCTTGAGTTCAGCCAACTCATCTTGCGATAAACTGTAAATTGGTCCAAATGGTGGCTGAGTTCCTTCCTTGAGATCGATTGAACAATCGTATGGGCG